TATATATATATATATATCGTATTAACTATGCATAGTAAATATATAATATGTCAACATTATAGTGAAGAAAATTATAAGTATTCGCTCGGCAAAGTCTCTACATTGGTCAAACCAGACGTCGATTCGAGCCATTTTAGCGTTCCTCAGCACCGGAGGCGCACCTGCTTGATCTCTATTGCACGAATTAGTCCACGAAACAATTATTAACTATTGCACCAGTCGTGCATGATCATACGTACAGTAACGACAGTACGAATGAGCGAGATGCGGAGGCTGTATTCGAATTGCAGAGTCGCGGCAGTTATACCTTAATTCTTAATAGTGTTTTCCATTGGTATGCACTGTACAAAGCCGTTGTATACTAATTTCATCTGAATGGAACAGTGAGACATCTCAATTCATAAAATACTTAATGTATATTTTATTAAATAAAGCACAATAAAATGTATTGTTTGCGGTTTAATTTGTTTTAATATTTTTATTAAATATATGTCTTTATGTCTTTATGTCGATTTGTGTACAGCGGTTTTAAAGTGCACTGAGTGCGCACAGTTCTGCCAATGAAAAATTCTTCAAGTTACGCTTGAATTGGATCGTCAAAGTACATGCTAAAGTCGCAAAATTGTAATGGACTAAGGAAAAGAAGCGAGAAGGAATCACACGCACCAGGGGCGCGATTCCATAAACTGTTTTATACGTCTACAGTTATCAGTTCTCGTTGTGCAGCTTTTTCATCATATAAAATATCTGCGCGACACCGATAACTATCGGTAGGCATATAAAGACAATTACGGAATTGCGTCTCAGACGAACCAATCGCGCGCAATCTCGTTCACTGTCGTTACGTTTGAGCGAAGCAGAATGGACCGCACGGATAAAAACGCCAAGGCAAGAGAACAGAAGCGAAGGCACATAAAGCATATATTAGCGATCATTTAGGCCTGATTACAAAATGCTTTTTACTAATAACCAATAAACTAAAAAAAATAGCAGCTAAAAAATATATAATTCTAAAAATTTTTTTTTAAAGCTATTTTTTTAAAGCAATTAAAGAAATCTATCTATATCAGCCTGATTTCATCCACTGCTGGATATCGGCCTCTTTTAACTTTTTGCATGGTCTTTGGAAGGAAAGAGTTTGGCATCAAAACGCCACGCTTATCATTCGCTATGCGTATTGGCGAATGTACACTGTACATCCACTGATATATAAAACCTACAATTTTTAACGTCAAATCCGAACGGCGATGGCAAAGAAATTCTCGGAGAGAATTTGCCATTGCCTTTCGAGAGGCAATCAAATAAAATTTGATGTTTTGGATGGATTTGAATCCTGGATCTTTAGCATAGAGGGCAGTCGCTACGCTGTGCGCCACAATCGCCACAAGCTAAAGCAATATCATTTATAAAATTATATATTTTTTTAGTTGCTAGTTTTCTGGTTCCTAATGAAGCATGCATCATTTGTGTGTGTGTGTGTGTGTGTGTGTGTGGGGGGGGGGGGGGGGGGTGTGGGTGCGTGCATGCGTGCGTGTGTGTGAGGGGCGAAAGGGGAAGAAAAAGAAGGAAAGAAAAGAAGGAAAAAGGGAGAAAAGGGAAGGAAAGAGAGAGAATTGAAAAAGCTATAAGTATAAATTATAGAAAATGATATGAGAAGATTTCTTTTCTTCATCATCACTTTCATCACGAAATAAATTGTATGTTACAATTTTATCCACCTTGAAATGCTTTCCCAGCAAGTATTGCAGACTTCACTGAAGCAAATAATACTTCACATAGTAAGAGTTCATTTTCTTTGGCCTTTCTAAAAAAATAAATATTTTTCTTTTTATTACCGTCTGCTAAGAACCTTCGTCTTTATTCGTACGATCCAATGAGTCTGACTATTTGGATGCGGATTGTTTGCTAATAACTTTAACAAGCAAGTCGATGTACTAATTGAATCTTGACAATTAATATCGCAATTATCACTTTCCGAAAGGCAGGAAAGAAAAACAATAAAATTCCACCGGCCCCGGCAAAGTGTCAATTTAATCAGACTTGTATCCGCAAATTCGAAATCATGTAATTGAGCTATATAGGCGGCTAAATCTGTCGCGATTGGATCTTTAACTTAAATTCGAAAGATATTTACTTATCTACATACTCCTACACATATCATATCAAACACTATCAAACTATAACGCTAGCGTAATACAATACATGCTGATCATACAATAATCAATACATGATTATTGATTTATATATGTTGATATATTTCTAGATGAATAGAACAAACGCAGATTAATGAACGGACAAAATGAAATAGCGAAATTCGCTCTCGGGAGAAGAAGCGAGAGTCTAACGGAAGACTTTTGTAATATTTGCTGTTTTAACGTAGGAAATAAACGCCGTTATCATTTAATAATCGTCTACTGAAAAACATTGAGAACACGCACTTAAAAAAAAAAAAGGAAAACTAAAAGAAAGCGCGACACGAATTTAACAATTTATAACCAAATGACAAATGACTGACAAATATACATACACCTATGGCTGCGTTCCAAATTTACTGCCAATGCTGAAAATGCTACAGTTTATGTTATGTGCACTAGATTATCAGTATAGGCAGTCAATCAATTTTGAGACATAGCTTACAATACACACACACACACACACACACACACACACACACATGTTGTGTATGCATTATGTATATATTAATTTTCATTTTAAAACGTTAAAAATTAAATTAAATAATATTCATAAAATATCGTATGTAAAATTTGAAAGAAAAAAATTAATGAAACATAGCCCGTATGTAATGTCGATTCTAAATATCAACCATGGCATATCTGATACAAATCAAGACGCATTTAATTGCAAAAGCGAATGCGCGGCACGGACTACATCTTTATTGTCCGATACAATCGCTTATAACGATAAATATAAGTATTATTTACAATCTATTTAATGGGTAATTTGTTTATCTTGTATATAATCCGAGACGTGTTCGACTCGGTTGCTCATATATATCTATTCCCGCAAGCTTTTTCAACTCGACGCGGGTAAAAGTACGCGAAGTTTCCAATTGCCGTCATTGCAATGGGAAATGATAAGAATGTAACATAGTAAAGGAATAAAATACATAAAAAAAAAAAGAGAGGAAAATTAAGATTATGATGAACAAAAAACTTAAGCAATTAGATGTAAACAGTAAGCAAATCAACATTTTGGCTCTATTATTGCTTATTACCATAAGAGTAAGATGTCTATTCAAATTGGTTGATTTGCTTATTGCTTATGTCATATTGCCTTACGTTTTTCTGTGTCATGACTCTTAAAAGGAGGAGAATGTGATATACGGTTCGTCTCATTCCAAGAGAGGGAAAATTCGGAACAAACGACGAGAAAGAAACGACACCGCTGTATATCGCGCCACAACGGCTTCTATCTATCTCTAGACTAGAAAGAAACGCACCGCTATGGCGGCGCGTCGAAAATTTACGAAAGAAATGATTTCCTTTGGAAAAACGCGTAGAAGAAAAATTACACCTTTACATTTGCACTTTGCCTTGTCTATATCTACGTACGATGCGTTCAAAAAATAAAAAATATCGTTAAGCCTCATTGACGTCGATAAAGACAACAACGAGGACCGTTCTCTCAAGGATTACCCTTGAATCATCTTTTTTCCCTTGAATCACGCAATTCCACGTTTTAGCTGGTCCTAAATATCGATCACTCATCTCACCAATTTGGGATCGCGTCTAGGAGGCAAGGAACTGGGCCAGGCAAGAGGATCCGCTGAGATGATCAAACCATGAAAACCTCAACGAAAGAATTGCAATCGGTCTGTGGTGGAGGCAACGCCGTCATGCGTTTATCCAACTCCACTCGTGGTAGATACGCCTCGATACGCGCGTCAGGTCCCGTGGTCGTGGTTGTCGGCAGCGTCGTTGCCCCGGGTGCTAATTGCAGACATTCTGCTGGCGCTAACTGCATTCACACAATATGTGAT